TCCTATGATCATGCTGCAATCATTCCCAGTGCCCTGGCCTCTAGAAAGCTAGGAGTAGAAGAAATCTGCCACCTTTGCCTTTATAACAGAGCTGTGGCACTACTTCTCACCATGAACCCCACCAACGAGCATCCCTCAGTACATAGGAAGTGTTTTCCCTCAGAGTAGCCAAGAGGAGGGACACAAAGACACGAGTTTCTCTAGGTATTCACATAATTCAGTTTCTGTAAGTATAAGGAGTCATCGAGTTCTAGGTGATTCACTTATTCTTGCAAATCACTTTCTGCTTCATACACTCCTGACTCTCTAGAAAGCTGGAGCCACAGATCAATTACAGAGTTCTGACCCCTTCTGTTATTTACACACTATGCATTTTCATTTGCAAGATTTGTTTCTTCAGTTTCTTGGGATGTTCTATAGCAGACATTTAATCTTAGAGGGTTTAGGAGCAAAATAAATATCCTTATTTTCCTAAAATTTATTTTCGAATCCCCTCTGTTCCTCTGTGGAAGCCTTCAGCTCAAGTTCTCCTTTCCCCAGGACTATACTCTGTGCAGGTCCAACCCTCCCTCTAGTGGTGGTTTTTAAAATCTAACTGAAGTTTCTCTAAAAGCCTTGCACTTTAGACCAGTGTGTTCCAAAGTTTGACCGCTATTCAAAATATGAAAGATATTTTTATGTTAACACGATTTGCACATACACTTGTAATTACAATAAAATTTTTACACAAAACAGTATTTTCCCAGCTTTGTTGAGTATACTGTGGTGTTTTTTTATTTTTATTTAGAAAATTATGTTAGTTATTATCCAGTAAATTAACAATTTCCACTACAAGTAAATAGTAGTTTGAAAACAATGATTTAGACTACTATTAAAACTATAATTAACTTTGTGTTCTATGAGCAGGTACTTTTCCCAGATAGGGACACACAAATGCACACACACACAAAATCCACTTGTGCCCAAATGCCTGATGATCTGCAAAGCCCTGTGACTTTCTTTTATTTTCATAACACATTTGCATATAATGACTTGGTAAAGGCTTGTGAGAAAGAGGCACTTTTCATAACTTAGTGTGTCCCAATTTTAACCAGAGATGGACCATTTCCAAAACATGCATATGCAGCAAAATAAACAAACCTATGAGTAGTTGAAGAAATTATTATTCTGTCTGGGACAGTGGTACATGCCTGTATTCCCAATTACTCAGAAGGCTGAGACTAGAAGATTGAAAGTTTAAGGTCAATCTTAGCAACTTAGACTGTGTCTCCAAAACAAAAAAATCAGAAGGGCTGGGGATATAGCTCAGTGCTGGTAAATTCAATCCCTAGTACTAAAAAACAAAATTAAAAAACAAGAAGAAAGAAAAAGAAAGAAAGATTATTCCAAGAAATGAAATTATAGGGGATTCTTGAGATATGAGAAGGGAATTAACAAATAAATCTAAATGCAAGATAGATTATGACACAAATTTATGCAGTTGATGGACAATGGCTTCTTAGAGGTGTGCTTTAAAAACTACTTAGGAAGAGGGACTGGGGCTGTAGCTCAGTGGCAGAGCGCTTGCCTAGCATGTGTAAGACCCTGGGTTCGATCCTCAGTACCACATAAAAGTAAACAAATAAAATAAAGGCACACTGTTCATCTTCAACTACAAAAATAAAAACTAAAAAAAAAAAAACTACCTAGGAAGAATGGACAAATGTGGTTGGATGGTAGGATATGAAAGATAAAGAAGCAAGAGCTGTTAAAATTTCAAAGGGTGCATTATAAACTTACATTCAGAAATATTGGGGAATTGGATCCTTTGTTTCAACTAACCGAACCAGATGATTCTGGGGCTTGTGACTGCTATCGGGTGGTTTGTTTCATGTATTCCAAATGAAGAGGAAAGTCAGTGATAGAGGGAACTACCAGAGGCCCAGGATCCTCATATCTGCTGACCTAAGTTGGGAAGAGGTTATATCCAATTCATTGACTCACAGACCACAACTGGCAGAAATCTAAATCATAGCAGATTAAATACATGATTCTAAAGATGGACATGGGATGGGTAAATATGACAAGGACAGAAGCACAGCCTCCAGCCGGATAACTCCTAGAAATGTGGAGGACATTCATCAGGAGCAAATAGAATACCTGAAACAATATGTCAGTATCCACAGAAGGAAATCTAGGACAGAAAAAAAGGTAAGGTCAGCATGAGAGGCAGACCCAGGAAATCGTCTTTTTCTCTGCAGAAAACATCTCTTGAGGATCCTTCTTGTTCCCCTACTTTAAGAACCAGATCTCACACAGATCCTATTTAAGAGGTAGAGATAACATCTATACTAATACCATGTGACTAAAATTTCCAGCCCCAGTGGACTGAATTGAGCTGAACACCCATCTGTAGCTGGATTAGCAGGATATTCTTTTGAAACAGAATTTGTTCACTAAGCATATAGTGTAGGTTTTGAATTCCTGGAGTGAAAAGCTGAAAAAATGACTAGCTATGTTGGATACTGTGTGTATTCCCCAAAGGCAAGTAAATCTAGTGGCTGAAAGTGAAAATATAAACCAGTTCCTGAGAAGAAGGGGACAATACAAAAGGAAAGAAAGAGTAATGTCCCTTCCTGACTTTGTTCTTTCTTTTACTAGTTCCTCATGAGATTCAGCTGTGTGCCTCAGTCTTGGGTGAATTGAAATAAGCCCTGTTCGTCCAACACTTCTTTGGCTTAGGTGAGTTAGCATGCATGTCATTGTCATAGCCAGATACCATTAAATAAGCTAGCCTAAAAGAAGCTTATATCCACCTCAGGCAAGGCAGCTTTGTGATGTCAGCACCCGGATGGGAGTGTAGACTATGCGAATGGAGCTTATGGAGAATTCAGATATTGTATACAATACAAAGAGTCTCATACAAATTGTAGGCATCAGGGACTGCTATACAAAATGGGCCATTACTGTCTTCTTCCCTAAGAATTGTGAGAAAGTAGTTTCTAGTGACAAAAAAAAGAAGAAGACGTTATATATTTCTTGGGAGTGGGACATTTTTATCAACTGTGCCAAGAGAAGAAGAGGTCTGGACTGACTGGAAGGTATTACATTATTGGTGGTTCAGTGGGATAGTGTTGATCTAGGAGGAGAAGAGAGTGTGCTTGCACCTTCTCATAAGGGCCTGTACTTACATTAATTTATCCAGGATCCCCATTTTAAAATTCTTAATTTAATCACATATGCAAAGTCTGTTTCACCATATAAGATAATGGAATATTCACAAAATTTGAGAAGTAGGACACGGACTTCTTCTGGGAGAGGATTTTTTTTTTTTATTCTACTGAAATATCTTTTTCCTTTCTGATATTAATAATTTGCATCCTCTTCTTTTTTCCTGGTTAACCTGACTAGAGATTCATAAATTCCATCAATAGTTTAAAAGAATCAGTTTTTGTTGGGCATGGTGGTACATGCCTGTAATCTCAGCGACTCAGAAGGCTGAGGCAGGAGTACCCGGAGTTCAAAACCAGCCTTAGCAAAAGCAAGATGCTAAACAACTCAGTTAGACCCTGTCTCTAAATAAAATACAAAATAGGGCTGGCAGTGTGGTTCAGTGGTCAAGTGCCCCTGAGTTCAATCCCTTAATCAGTTTTTTTTTATTACTTTTTTCAATTTCCTTGATTTCACTCTGCTGTTAATAAGTTGTATTTTATTTTCATTTTATTCGAACTTTGTAAGTTCTTTTGATTTTGTTTCTCTTTGTGAAATTTAGAAGTATGTTGCTTAACCTCTAAATATTTTGGGATCTCCTAATACATTTACTTTTAGATTAATTCTATTGTGATTTGACAAAATACTTTATATGATTTTTTTTTCTCTTTTAAATTTGTTCCAATGTTTCATGCCTCAGAATATGGCCTATATTGGTGAATGTTCCATTTGAGTTTGAGAACAATGTGTATTATACTTTTGGACAGAGTACTCTCTAAATGTCAACTAGATTCAGTTGATTGATAGTGCTATTCAGATCAGTTTTGTACCTGCCGGATCCATCAATGACGAAACAGAGAGATGTTAAAGTTTTTAAGTACAGATTGTCCCCACAGTGCAATAGTTCAACTCATGTCTTTGACATTGTAATGGTGCACATGTAATGCTCATTCTTTAGAAACTTTATCTTCTATTTTGCATTATAGCTGCGCTAGTGCTAGATATATTGTACACGGCTCTCACAATCCTGGGCAGCAGCAGTGAGTTCTAGCTCCCAGTCAACCACAAGATCATGAGAGCAAACAACTGATGTTTGTTAAGTTAGATGTAATAAAGACATCTTTAACTTGTATTATCAATTTAAAGTACATTTATCGGGGTGGACCCCATAATTATTCAAAAAGTCTCTGTATAATACTATATTTTTCTATTGTTCATTGTGGTTCTATACATTATTGATTTACACATTTGAAGTTCCATAGTTAAGTGCTTTACATGTGAAACATCATTACGCAACCTTAAGAAATTGAACCTTTTTACCATTTTGTTAGGATTCTCTTGATTTTTGATAATGTTCCTTTTCCTGAAATCTATTTGCCTAATGTTAACAGGCTTACTCCACTTTTTTTTAGAGTATATCTTTCTCCATCCCTTTACTTACAACATATTTTATATTTGGATCAAAAGTATTTATCTAGTAGACAAGGTACAATAGAGTCTTTTCTAAAAAAAAAATCACTATGATTATCTTTCTCCATTAACTGCCACATTTAGAACATAAACTATAAGAGTAGAACATAAAAGTTATAATTTTAAATTAAAATTTTTATTATTGCTCTCTGAAACCAGAGACCACAGCAAATATACAACAGCCTGAAATGAGGGAGGGAGACGACAGAAGAGGGGAGCTCAGGATGAGGTGATCAGGTGTCAGGGTGTCCACAGAATCCTTTCTTGGGTGGATCTTCACCTGGGACTCTTATGAATGATGGAACTATGCACAAATCCAGCTGGATGACTTCCCACGTTCCCTAGCCCTTGAACTTGCAGACATAGGGTAACTCTATATTACAGTTGTAGTCTCTCCACCTCAGAAATCCTGGAGAGACAGAAGATGCAATATGACTGAGACCGGTGGATTTTTGTGGACCCAATGAAGCAGCATCTCAGGTAGAAGACAAATTGACTTTTGATTTCCTATCTCAGAAAGATTCCTTGAAGGTCAGGCCCAGGGATGAAGAAAGAATAGGGAAAGACTGGGCAGAAGTGGCTTCTTTGATGCTTACCTGAGCTTCGTGACACGCCCCCACAATAACCACGGTCTGAAGCAGTGGAAGGATTCCTCTCCCAGTTTGCGTAATTCAGCACATCAGTGCTGCTCCACTCCCATCCAGCACCATTGGGTTCTTGTCCCTACAGAGCACAGGATGGAACCAGGTAGGTATGTGTGTGTGTTGGGGGGAAGGGTAGAGATTAGAGCTCTGCTTGCATGACCCCCTAGCTGGAACTTCTGATTCCCCTCACAGCTTCATGGAGTTTGGCCTTCTCCACAGGATACACAGAAGGCTCTAAAGGAATGTTTCCCACCAAATTTCTCATTCCTACAGGGAAATCCTAGACAATTATCCCAAGAACTTTGGAACCACTCAAAATCAGTGAGGAAATAGCTTAACACAATTGGTGACATTTTTGTGAATAGATTCTGAAACTCAAAGATAATATCTATTCTTAAAAGAGAAAATATGTCTCTTACCTTCAGGTAGTGATCCCTTAGAATAGTATGCTCAGACTCCCTGAAAATTTCCAAAGCCTCACAAGAGCATAGTATAAAAGCTGACAAGGGGCACGTGAACATCATCGGATTATCTAGGGAACCCCACATAACTTAGTTCTTAACATGGCCTCAAGGATTTCCCTTTGCTCGAAATATCACCCAGAATCTGAGCTCTAAGTCCCCTCAGGTTCCTCCTGGGCAGGCATAGAGAGAAGGCCTGGGTGACAATAGCCACTTGAGATGTAACCAAAAAGAGTATTGAACTCACAAGCGTGGGATCATGGAGCCCAATCCAGACATATGAGTAGCTGTTCGCAACGCTCTTGACCAAGGAGGACACAAAGGAGGCTTCAGCCCCACTGAGCACAGACGCAAGGTGTCCTTCAGACCGCTTCTGGCAGGCCAACTGCATGGTTGGGAAGCAAGAAAATAAGAGGGAGCCTGAGATCTCGCTAGAGAAAAACAGGGAAGAGTTTGGTGGGATAAATAGCATTGGCAAGGGTGTTCATTCTCGTCCCAGGAACTGTGGAAGTTGGAGATCCTGCCCCTGGGATACATGTGGCCTTTCCCCTGTCACCCATTCAGCACTCACATCTGCATCTATCCAGGATTTTGGTGTGGTAAAGAAGGCATAGCAGTAGGAGGCATAGGCCTTGGAGCCTTTGGGACACCTGATGCGTGGAGAGGCCTGTTCCTCCTGAGTGTCTTCACCTGGGTAGAGGGAGATACAGAGGGATGGGATCAAATGAAGAATGGAGATTGGGGTGGGGAGGATAACGTAGGGAACGTCTATGAGGTCTCCTTCTGGGAGGGAAACCACAATCCTCACCACCTCTCAGCTCTGCTCATGCTTTCAGGAATCTGCATTCTCACAAGGCCCAGCCATGTTGGGCAGCACCACCTCTCATTTTACCCTTTCCCCTTACTCAATAGTCCACGACTCCTCCCAGCCTGAGCTGACAGTTCCCACACTGGGTTTTCTAATCTTTCATTGTTCCTTACACTGCATTATGGCCCTTTCCCACTTTCCCTCTTTAACCCACTCACATAAATTAGAAATTTCTGACAAAGCAGGGAGCCACCTCATTCCATTGAGGATGCATACTCTGGCCTCCCACCACTGTTAACTGATGCAAGGGAGGGTGATGGAGGGACAGCAGGCAATTTCCCAGAGTGTGGGCACACCTCACCTTCCCCCATAAAGGAGCCTTCCTCTTCCTGGATCTCAATGCTCACAGAAATCCCTGGGCTAGAGGCAGAGAAATCTTACCTTGCACCTGAGACAGGAGCATGAGGCAGGAAAGCAGCATCCAGGACATGCTGGGCAGGGCCATGGGAGTCAGCATCATGTCTGTGAGTGAGGAGACAATCAGCTCACTGTAGGAAATGTGCTCAGGCAGAAGACATGCAGAGACCCCACTGTGTCTTGCCTTTTTTTGGTCTAATCCTGTCCAGATGTGTTGATCTGAGTGCTATCCATGCCCTTCCATGGACCTGGCATGAACTGGGAAATCTGTATTCTCTGTTCTTCCTGAGAGCTCCCTGGCCAGCCTTTGCTTAGTCTCTGAACTCCTATGTTCTCTGAGGACTGGGACCCCCTCCACCCTCTAGTGATGTGTGAAGTCAAACCCCTGCAGGGCTCAGCCTCAGCTTCTTTCAGCCTCAGCTCCTTTAGGCTCCCACTTACCTGTCTTGCAGGAAACTGGAATGCTTTGTCAGGGCAGGGAAGGCTGGACTTTTATAAGAGGATCTGAGGGAGGGGCATTGAAAGGAGGGGGTGAAATGTGTGTGCAGGCAGGGCTCATGGTAGGGCTTGGCATTGATTCAAGAGATTCCCATCAGGGAGAGGAAAATCTTCCTGGCAAAGCTTGGGAATCAGCACAGCTGTTACCTGCTTCCAGTTAGCAGGCCAGCTCTATCTCCAGGGCAGGTGAAGTTTGAACTTTCCCCACCCTCTCCCAGATATCCCATTCTGAGAAACTCAAGAGAATGAATGCAACCCTGTGGTACAGATTATGCTGTTTTACAGTGTTGCAAATGTTATGGCCTTGGGTATTGAAGGAAAATGAATATCAGCAGTACCTTTTAGATCAACCAGCAAGAAGTAGTTCTTGTGGGCATATATGCACATTTCTTTATACCTGCCTAGTAATATATAATACAGATTAATAAGTATGAATTGGGTGGGTTAGGGTTAACAATTGGAAGTATTGGTGAGCATGAAGTTGTTGAAGGCAAAGAAAGAATTTAAACCCAGGTAAGAAGTAATGGCTTAGAATCTGTGCTAAGAGCCACTGCCAAGTCATATGATGCATGGCATTTTTGGTTGAAAGGTGATGCCAGCAAGCCATTGAGATGATATGATTATGTTAAGATCTGGATTCATATGGATATTGGACTCCTGCTGTCCACCTTGGCCTGCTATGGGACTCCTGGAGAGTTCCCATTGGTTGGGGAAGTGCGGTAGGAGGGAATTCCGGAGGAGGAACTTCCTTTTGGGTTCCAGGGATCCGAGAGAAAGGGCCGCGTGCATAGATCGGCAATCTTCCCGGGAACTTACAGGGCATTGGCGGCAGTTTCAAAAAATAAAGTTTGTTCCTGCTTGAGTGGCTCGTGATTTTGTGCCCAGCCAGACTGCGGCAAATCTGTAGTTAATCTTGTAGGTAAATTGTCCAGCAAGGCTCTCAGGAACAGTAGCTGAATGGACTTTCCTTCCTGCTGCCTCTGTGTGGTAGGACTGGGAAGCTCTCCTGGTTCACTGTAATTGTGGGCTGGCAGTTTGTTCTTGGAGTAGCATCCTCAGATTTTGATCACATGCTCAGGGGTTTTCAAAGCTCTTTCAGAGGGTTTTGTAGTCTTCATTTTCATTATTAGAATATGATGCTGTTTATTGTTTCTACTGTGTTGACATTTTCAATGACAGAGCCAAAGAATTGGTTATTAAATGTCCTGGTGCTTCAGTTTTAATGAAGGTAGAGTCATTAACCTGGGTCCTTATAGCCATGCACTTGGAAGAAGCTAAGAAAAGAAACTTTCACTTAAACATGCACTTGAACTTGAGGAAGCAATGGATATGGTTAATATTAGTGAAGTTCAGTCCTTGAACACACATCTTTACTATTCTGTGTAACCAAACGGGAATCTGCATACTGAAGTTCAGTGATTGTATTGAGGAAAAGCATTGTTAAAATGAGGTATTATTCATTGTTTTCCTCTAATGTCTTCTTTACATGAAAAACAAGCTGACAGATAAACTGGCTATTTACATATGTGTATTGTGTTGAAGTGTCTTCAAAAGTTATCAAAAGGAGTTGGTAAACATTTTTTAAAATTCCTGTTGTAACATCTAGTACTATCAATGACTCAGATGAGTGATAAGTTTTCAGGATCCTCAATAAATTTTACACGTATAAATGTGTCCCGATACGAAAGACATTTAAGAATCCCTGACTAACATCTAGCTACCTGTTTCAAGGAAATACAGAAGATGGAAACAGATTTTATGTTACAACACATATAATGTGACAAGTTCAGAAGGTGGAAACCCCCACAGTAAAAATGACTCCAGAGTTCCAACAAATAGATTCAAGAATTAATGCAATACTCAGCATATGGGAGAAATATCTGCTAAATCAATATATTTAGATTCTGGTTTGAACAAACCAAATGGAAAATAATGAGATGACTGGGTAAAATTAAGCATTTGATAAATTTAAGGGGTTATATTCTTAGGTGTTAAAATTATATTAAGATTATATAACTTTAAAGTGTCCTTATCATTCAGAGATACATAATATAATGCAAGAAAATGGAATATATTACTCAGAGTTTGCTTCAATATACCACTGTGTGCTAGTGGCAAAGAAAGAGCAACATAAATAGACTAGGAAACCGTGAGGTGGCCACTCTTATTGCTTAGTAACATGTACAGAGAATTCATTTTATTATACTCTTTAGGCTTGTCTGAATTTTTGTCATAAAATGTTGGGAAAAGAGCTTAGAAGAAGGAAAAATCAAAGAAAGGAAATTTAGAGGTCAATCTTGCTAAGGAACATAGATGCAAAGTTCCTTAACAAATTACTAAACAAATTAAGTTATCCAATATTTATAATAAATGAAGAGAAAGAAGATTTAACCCTAGAAATGTAAAGATAGTTAGCCATGAGGAATTATAATTGTTTTTATTCTCACATTCAAAATCTTAAAGAGAAAAATATTATACGATTATCGTAAAAGAAAAACTCTCTGAGTACAATTTAACTTCCATTAATGAGCAATAAAAATGCTGAACAAAAAAGAGAAAACTAGGAATAGCTTTAATATGACAAAGAACTCTGAAGAAACTCAAGGGTAAAATGCTGGAAAAATTTTCTTAAAAATGAGGGGCTGTGGCTCAGTGGCAGAGCGCTTGCCTAGCATGTGTGAAGCACTGGGTTCAATCCTCAGCCCCACATAAAATAATAAATAAATAAAACAAAGGTATTGTGTTCATCTGCAACTACAAAAATTTTTTAAAAAATCAGTACTGTAAAAATTTCTTCATTGGTTCTATTCATTAATACCATGCTATGGAAAGTATGCTTTCAAAAGGAGAGGATTTTTTTTTTTTTTTTTGCTGTTAGACTGCTTGATATAATTATTTAAATGCTTCACTGCACCACTTAATAAGCAATTAGATTTATTTTATCTTATTTTTATTTGTTCTTTTAGTTAGACATGACAATGGAGTCTATTTTGACATATTTATCTAAACATGGAGTATTCTAATTAGGATCCCATTCTTGTAAATGTACACAATGTTGAGATTCACTGCAATGTATTCATATATGTACATGGGAAAGTTATGTTAGATTCATTCCATTGTCTTTCTTATTCCTTCTCCCTTAAACCTTTATTTCCCTTTGTCTAATTCACTATATTTCTACTCTCCACACCCTCACACTTGTTGTGTGTTAGTATCCACTTATCAGAAAGAACATCAACCTTTGGTTTTGGGGGATTGGCTTATTTCACTTAGCATGATAGTCTCCACATCTTTTCATTTACCAGCAAATGTCATAAAGTCATTCTTCTTTATGGCTGAGTAATATCTCATTATGCATATATACCACTTTTTCTTTATCCAGTCATCTGTTGAAGGGCACCTAGGTTGGTTCCATAGCTTAGATTTTGTAAATTGAGCTGATATAAACTAGGTTAAACTTCATAAGGAAGAACAAATTGTCAAGAATAGTCAAAAACTTCTGAAGAAAAACAAGATTTTTTGTTTTATTGAAAGAATTTTGGTTTTTTAAAACTTTTTATTACAAAGTACATGTGTAGGGATAGCAAATTTATTTAATTAACCAAATTATACAAGGTGCTTGTATGAATATACCACAATGCATTGATTTTAAAAAAATAAATAAATAGAAGTAAGATTAGCATAGGAAGAACAATTGAAATGGAAAAAGCCATGTTATATGAACTTATGAATATGTCAAAATAAACCCCATTATTATGTATAATTATAATTCTAGTGCACTAAAAATTAAAGAAAAAATTTTAAAAAATATAGGACCCAGAAGCATGATATCTGGAAACTGGAAATATGGAGGGTGATAGTTAATTAGTAAGTAGGAAAGATGATGGAATGAGATGTACATCATTACCCTAAGTACATGTAAGAAGACACGAATAGTGTGACTCTACTTTATGTACAACCAGAGAAATGAAAAATTACACTCTATATGTGAACTATGAATTGAAATGCATTCTGCTGTCATGTATAATAAATTAGAATAAATAAATAAATAATTAAGGACAGACTAAATGGTTTGGTTTAATTTATTATGCATAGAAACAAAAATGCAATTTGGATTCCTACCTCTTTACATCTTGAAAATAGAACAAGAACCATGCACACACACACACACACACACACACACACACACGTGTGTACATTTATATATGGGAATAGAACGAAATAAAAATACTGAAGCTCTAAAATTAAAGAAAATAATATGTTTTGACTTTGGATTAGATACATTTCTTAAAGACAAAAGGCACAAATTATAAAATAAAAAATTGCTAAATGTGACTAGATTAAAACTTTAAAAAATAAAAAGTAAATGTGTAAGACACAAATGAAGAAAGTGCTTTGGATAAACATAACTGACAAAGGAGTAATTATCTAGAGTGTGTTAATAATTCTTAAAATCAAAAGATAGTGAATAATATATTTAGGAAGAAAAAAACAAAAAAGAGGATACATTTCATTAAAGAGGATGTTAAATTAAAAATATATATGTGTGTGTATACATATACACACATCAATATCAACATCATTACCAATCAATGAGATTAAAATTAAAATAAAAATGAAATA